CCCGGGAGATGTCAGCCCCAAGAAAGACAGAGCTGCCTGGTGGAATGCAAGCTAAGAGCCGAAAGTAAGTTCCCTTAGTCCAGCTGGCGTGGCTCAGCAGCTGAGTGTCAACCTATGAACCAGGAGGTCATGGTTCGATTCCTAGTCAGGCCACATGTCCAAGCACATGCCCGGGATGCAGGCTCAATCCCCAGTGTGGGGCATGCAGGAGGTAGCCAATCGATTATTCTCTCTCATCATTTATGTTTCTATTTCTCTCTCTCTTTCCCTTCCTCTCTGAAATCTCTCTCTCTCTCTCTCTCTCTCTCTCTCTCTCTCTCTCTCCATATATATATATATATATATATATATATATATATATATATATATGTATACTAGAGGCCCGGTGCACTAAATTTGTGCAAGAGTGGGCCTTCGCAGCCACAGGTGGCTGCCTGGATCCCTCCGTCACAGCCGCTGCGGCTGCGGCTGCCTCTGCCTCAATCCCATGGCTGCAGCCCTGGCTTAGTCCGGAAGGACGTCTAGTCTATTAGCATATTATGCTTTTATATATATATATCTATATATATAAAAGCCTAAGCAACTGGCTGACTGGCTGACCAGCCAACTGGCTGGTAGCTATGATGTGCAATGACCACCAGGGGGCAGATGCTCAACGTAGGAGCTGCCAAGTGACAGCAACTTTGCAGAGTGTCCTCTCACACTCTGAGACCCCTCCAGGGATGTCGGAGAGCTGGTTTTGGCCCAATCTCCAGAGGCCAGGCTGAGGGACCCCACTTGCTAGAGGTACCCTTCTCACTCTACAGATGCCCTTTGAGCCCTGGCGCTACCCCAGGTGCGGCCAGCCAGGGAGGGACCATGGGAGGTTGACTCAGGGTATGTCCGGCCCGTCTGGCCCAGTCCTGCCCCGCTGGCCACCTGCTAATTAATTTACTTTCAATGTGCACGAATCCACGCGCCGGGTCTCTAGTGTGTGTGTGTGTGTGTGTGTGTGTGTGTGTGTGTGTGTGTATTGAAGTAAAGTAAGTTCCCTTAAATGAAATAAAATAGGTGTGTAGTACCTTTTGTGTACCTGTTTTGGTGATTTTGATAGACTACTCAACACCTTTGTTTAGATGCTTTTTAAGCATTCTATGTTTTAGAAAGAGTCTCACAACATAGAAGACCATGCTAGGCTCTGGCAATTGTGTCTGTTTTGGAGATAAACCAAGCTACCTAAGTTGCAGGCGCTACCTGGTGTCAGCATGCTTTCCTTGCAGGGAACATGCCCTGGGACATTGCTCCTTGGGAGCTAACATTTGCGGAGTTCCAAGCACTTTACATCCTGTTGTCTCAACTACAATAGGAGGGAGCTGTACTATTTCCACAGGGGAAACTGAGGCACAGATAGGATCCCTGCCCAAGGTCACACGGCGAGTGGCAGGGCCAGAGTCCCGGCAGCATCCTGACTCCGAGCCTGTGCCGTCAGCTACTGGCATGCGCTGCCAGCCTTCCGAACGCGGGACAATTTAATGTGGCAAGAGCAGCAAAGTGTTGAGTATAAATCACCGAGCATATAAGCTCAGGGGGGAAATGAAGGTAGCTGGAGCTGAACGCAAAATGGATGGACAGCTCAATTTAAAGGCTTGACCATAAATCACTAATTTTTAAAAACAACTGACTGGAAATATGCAAATCTCGAAATGACAAAGATCCCTACCTGACAGCACAATCCCTGCACAAGGCTGCTGAAGGTGGCAGCCCCTAATTCTCAAACCGGCCCCCCTTCATTACTGCGCTTGCTTCTCCACGCCATGGCTGCCCCTGGCATCTAGGACGTCTTTTCCCTTCCCTTGGGGCAGGTCATGGGACCTCGCACCCGCCCATCGGGGTCACACCAGCGGCTTCTCTGCTCTCTGTGCCTCTATCGCCCCATCACCCCAATGCTGATGGAATAGTACCCTCTTATTTCAGAGTTATTGACAGGTATGCACTTATGCTGACAACCTGAAACACACGAAAATAATCTGCTATATATTTTAACTCAACCCTAGTTCTACCAGGGCTGGTAGGCACCACTGTGGGGCATATTTTGGAAATACATGGAGATGTTTTGTTTTTACTTCTAGGCCCTTATGACTCAACGTGCTGTCCAAGGAATGGTAGTGTGGATTGGACATCACCCGAAAGCTTGTTAGAGACAGTGAATCCCAGGCCCAACGGGACCTACTGAGTCAGGATCTGCATTTAACAAGCTCCCTGGGTGATTCGTGTGCACATTGTAATGAAGAAGCACTGGGCTAGAATTTAAATATTGAAAAAGATGTTACTCTATGATAATTAGTTCTTTTTACTTCTCCTTTATATTGGTGTGAGGGCATTCTTAAAAAAAAAAGTGTGTAGGCAGGGTAATTATCATTCATTTCAGGGTACCAAAAATGTGCTGCAACATATTTCTTATGTCAGGGGACAATAGGTCGGAGGCAGATTATAATGGCTGTTTTAAAGTATGGTGAGCCTGGGAATTCTGCTGCCCTACATGCTCTCTGGGACTTTAACTTGCGATTATGGGGCAGGCCACTTCATCCCTTTGGCCTCAATTCTTCATCTGGAACATGAAGAGCAGATAATTAAATTTTTTTTTTTTTGGTTAATCCTCACCCGAGGATATTTTTTCCATTGATTTTTAGAGACAGTGGAAGGGAGGGAGGAAGGGGATGAGAGGTGGGGGTGGGGGAAGGGGGAGAGAGAGAAAGAGAAAGAGAAAGAGAGAGAGAGAGAGAGAGAGAGAGAGCGCGAGTGATTGGTTGCCTCCTGCATACACCCTGACTGGGGCCTGGGATCGAACCTGCAACCCAGGTATGTGTTCTTGACTGGGAATTGAACCCATGACCCTTTGGTGCATGGGCCTACGCTCTAACTACCGAGTAACACCAGTCAGGGCTAGAATTAAAATTTTTTAAAGATTCCATGCAGACTTCTCTAAGGCTGGTCAACAGGGAGGGAGGGGATGTTAAGGAAGAAGCAAATAAAAAGAGTTTGAAAAAAATGAAGAAAATGTGTGAAGGAGTAAAGGATACACAGGAAGGGAAAATCCACAAAAGGGCAGGACGGACAGGGAGATGAGAATGTGGAGGGACTGACAATGAAGACTTCTGATCCAAGCAATTCCACCAGCCCATGAATTTTCATGGCTACCAGCTGGCATAAAATCATAAAGACAATTTTTAGCTCCTACAACGGAATTGCATTTGTAATAATCATAACAATATTTCTACAGAGTAAAAATGACAAAGATAATTTGAAATGGAAAACAGTGACAAGATGCAAAATAAATGACAACAAATTTGGGGACGGGACAGAATTTGCATGGGGAAAATTTATAAGCCGGAACACCACAAGGCATCAAAGCTGGGAGGGCTCTTGCTGGTTCTCTGTTAACCTCCTCAGGTAAGTCAGCGGGAAATGATTCCGTATTTTACAAGAAGTCTTTTGTAACAGTGACTTTTGTCTCCCCATCGAGTCGGAGGTGAAATGTGCTCTTTTTGCTTTTCATTATCTGTGACATAAATAATGGCTACACAAAGGCTCAAATGCCATGTCCAGTCCTACCGTGTCCATTTGTAAATGTTCCCGTTAGTCTTCATGAGCGATTATGTCCTTTGAAACCATCCGAGATGGTGGGAAACTATAATCCTCCACGAGGGACGTTAGCAAATTTGAGCACCTACTAAGTGTGAGACCACAGATGACAGACCTTCCTCCAGCTCGGTTTATGATCCAACAGGGGAGATAAACGTAATAGCTAATATTTACTGAGAGGGTTTTATAAGCCAGATAAGTATAACAGCTAAGATTTAACTGCAGTTGTCTTTTGGTAAGTGTGTCATGTATATATATTTTTTCACTGAACCTTTTAACATCCCTGGGACGTAGCTGCTATTATAACCTCATTTTATTGACAAGGCATTGGAGGATCAAGAAGGTGAAATAACTCGCCGTAAGTCACATGGCTAATAAGTAGCCAAGCCTGGACTCTAAGCTCACAGAGAAAGACAGAGGTGTCTATGTCCTTAACTACTGCCCTACACTAGCACAGAAAAATAATAGCAACTTGTGGAAACCACACAAAAATAAATGTTCACTTTACATTCCTCTTCAGACCCTCCCTCCAAATCCACGTGGCTGGGATTATTTTTAAAAAATAATATATTTTTATTGATTTCATAGAAGAAGGGGAGAGAGAGAGATTATCTGCATGCCCCCACCTGGATCGAGCTCACAACCCAGGCATCCACCTGGAGATCGAGCTCACAACCCAGGCATCTGCTGGGCAGTGGCTGGGTATTTTTATTCATCACGGATGCTTGTTTGTCATCCTATCTGACTCGCTCTCCTTGGGCTGGGATAAACAGGCTAAGTGTTTATGCTGGAGGGGCCTCCGGCCTGGGTTTTAAGGCACACAGAGGTAGAATTTTGCTTACAGATATTTTCAATGGGGGAAGACATTTCAGTTCAATTTCTTAAGCTTCTTATTAAAAGAATTCTGCTTACTTTGAAAAACATAATAGTAATGGGGGTCTTCCATCTGCCAGACATTCTACTACACCCCCTGGAGGACCCCCAACCCCTGAATGACCATCCTAACAAAAGGAAATAGCATGGCCAAGGGCAGGAGGAGGGAGAGGATGACTTTTCTAGTAAGGAAAAGAACTGCTATCTATATATATAAAAGCCAAGCGACCGGAATGCCGGAATGACCAGAATGACCGGAACAACAAGTCGCTATGATGCGCACTATGGCCAACCAACCGGCCTGATTGGGGTGCGGCCCCTCCCCCTGCTGGCCCCAGCTGGATTGGGGGTGGGGCCAGCCAGCCAACATCCTGCGGCCTCTCCCCCCGCCTGCCTAACCCGATTGGCCCCCATCAGGGCGGCGCGGCCAGACCCTACCCATGCACAAATTCGTACACCGGGCCTCTAGTGTTTTTATATTGCCCTGGCCTTTGAGAAAGCCTTACCTGAGACAGACTGGAAATACTGCAGGGTCCAGGCGATCAACACAGACAGCAGGAAGGTTCCCAGGAAATAGATCTACAAACACCAGAAATAGGCATCAGATGACTGACAGGGGCAGGGACCATGAGGGCAGGGCCAGCGGGAGAGGGTACCTACCAGGGCAGAGTGCAGGACAGCACCCCAGATGAGCCGGAAGTGAAGGTAGAGCCAGGCCAGGGAGCAGGGGCTCAGGGACTCCTCACTACTGTGGCTCCAGCACCTGCAGACACAAAGCAGAGGGCACCTTGAAGTGTCAGCCAAACTTTGGTGGCATTACTCACGACGGGTATTTTCAGACCCTCAAACCCACCTCCTTCTGCTTGGGGACAAGCAGGAACACTTGAGGTGAGAGGCAAAGGAAGAAAGGCAGTTCTGAGGGGTTGAGCCTGCCCTAAAATTCTAGGGTCCTGCCAGAAATCTCAGGAGAAGGTCACTTCTGTCCGTAATAAAAAAGCCAATAGGCCAAGGAGGTCCCTGAAAACAGGGGGGGCTGCCGGGACAACACTTCTGTCCAAGGGTCTCTCTGCATCCAGACACCAGAATGCCGCCCTGTCGTGCAGAAATGGTCTAATTGGACACGTTATTTTTTCCACTCTCGTGGAAAACCTTGGTCAGCACCTTAACTTCAGATCACGCTCATTCTGTATCTCAAGCCTCAGAAACTAGAAGACGGAAGTACGTTTGGGTCCAGCTGAAGGTTCTCAAATCAAAACAAATCCTGAGCCCTTTCAGAGCAAGAAACGCTACAAAGTAAGAGTCAGGCGAACGTGAACCAAGAAGCCAACAGCATCCACTGGGTCCCTCCAGATTCCACAGAATTAAAGAGGCTCTGAACTCACCTTTCGTATAGTTCCTGGAGGATGGAGATGTTATTTGCATGGAGAGTTGGGTCAATTTCCAAGAAATCCAAAATGTGATGTGGAATTATAGCACCTTCCTCAATGAGCAGGGCCAGGTTAAAAAATCCCTGAAAACAGGCCACAAACCAACCTCATCAGCTTCTCATAATAAAACGCAGACACACACCCTTCACCGGAATGTAAACTTTTACAACCTCTAGATTTTTTCCCCCAGTCCCCAGAGCCAGATGGCTTTGTCATCTTCATTGATGAATGGTTTCCCTAAATACATGCATCTGAGAAATTTATTTGCAGGAGAACCAGGAGGCTTTCAGAGGATGCTGGGTCCCATCTGCTCAGAAGCCAGCCAACCGGGGACCTGCCCTTTCCTGCTCATTCTCTCAAAACGGTGCTCACGGGAAAACGCACTCTTGTGTCACCAGCAGAACCAGAACGCTGAGGCGAAAGCCATGTCCCTCACTTACAACTATGCCCAGGGTCCCCATCGGCATGTCAGAGACCTAACAAAACGTTGTGGCTGGGAATACTACTGATGACTGACAGTCTCATGTAGGGAGGCGCTCCGATGACAGAATAACGGACGGTGTTTATTTCAGCTTCCCTGGCTTTCCCAGTGTGGAAAACCTCCTCTCATGATTCCTCTTGGCACAGGCCTCCACTGTGGTACATTTCCCCACGCCTTCCTTATTATGCACCTTGTTCTTGACCCTCAGAGGCAGGATCTGCCTCATTGGCTGTGCAGGTCCAAGGAAATAACAGAGTTAAGAACCTGATGGTAGAGGTCCTTCATCAAGGATGGGAGCTGTTATACTACCTGGAGGCGACACACTGTCCATCATGAGCCGGGCATGCAGCCAGACCAAGAAATAAACAAAAGACAGCCTTACTTAGCATTAGGGCTTTACAAACTTCACCGCCTTGTTGCCCTTCAAAGAATTCGTGGTCATGTTTTAATGACATAGTCTCCTTTTGGCCTTTCCTTTCAGTTGCCACTGACAACAATCTCAATGAAAATCATCATCCGCCTGGGTGTATAACCAGGACTCCCACAAGCATCCTATGCAACAACCATGATAAAAATACCAGCAGCTAGCATTTTCTGAGTGCTTGCTCTATGCGAGGCATTGTTCTGTTTTATATCTATTCACTTAATCTCATAGCAACAAATTGAGACAGGTACTATTATCCTCCTATTATCCTCCTCATGTCATAGATGAAGAAACTGAGGCACAGAGAGGTTAAGGAATTTGCCCAAGGTCACACAGCTAGAAAGGGGCAGAACTGGGATTCAAACAGGAGCAGACAGGGTCCAGAGTCTCCAATCTTAAGCTCAACCATGTTGCCAAATAACCTCTAAATAGATGGAAATGTTAAGTATCTTGAAGATGCACACACACACCACACACAGAAAATACAATAGTTCTCTGCACTTTGAAAGGAAGGTGCTCTTAAAACAACGCATTAAAAGAAAAGAAAAAAATTACCTATAAAAATTTAAAGTCTCTGAAGAATGGAAACATAACAAGATTGGAATAAGTGGGAAAATAGGCTAGAGGAATATTTATATGCAATGTAATAACTTAAAATTCATTATCTATGAGGCAAATGTGTAAAAAAACTATAATTTAAATTTTAAAAGGTGTCAAAACTTCAATAAACAAGGCAAAGAACGAGCATAGAGAATTCACATAAAAATATGAAGAGTAAATTATCATACATAAGTATATATAAAAGTGCCCCTCCCCACTAATAACCAAATAAATGCAATTTAAAACAATAAAGAAGTATCAACTGGAAACTATTCAGTTAGCAAAATTAAGTCATGAAAACATCCAGTGCGGACAAGATTTCAGTTACCCTCCTACCCTTCACCACTGCTTGGTGATGTATTCATTGGAAAACCCTTTCAGAAAGTAAATTGGCAATAGACTATTATTAGGTAGCTGTAAAACCATTTAGATTGACTTAGCAATACTATCCCTCAAAGAAATTATTCTAATGAAAATAAAAGATCAAATTCCAAAGCACAACACCAGAAACCTGTTGCCTGAGAGGGCAACAACTATTCCAACTTCCATTGTGCAAATGACCCTGATTAGCAAATGTAGAAGGAATGAGAGAATAGACTCTTCATTAGCACACACAGTAATCATTGTTGCAAGATGTATGGAAGGATACTAAAATTAGTAAGTACCAATTTGAGGAGAACTAGGATATGTGCATAGTCGCAAACTCTCTCCCCAAGATATCTATACATTAGAAAGAGAAAAACATTAGCTTTACAGGGGAGAAACCCAGCAGAAACCACCTTAACCAAGTCACTCAGATCAACCTCACCAGCAATAAGACATCATGTACGCCTCGTAGGATACAGTGAGAAGGACACATCACTTCTGTGCTGTCTTTGCCCCAAATGTATAATCTGAATCTATTCATGAGAAAACAGAAGCCAGACCCAAATTGAGGGACATTCTACCAAATACTTGACTGATGAATATTCTTCATAAGTATCAAGGTCATGAAAAACAAAGGAAGAGTGAGGAACTGCTACAGATTTGAAGAACACTAAAGAAATACGACAACTAAATGCTAGGTGGCATACTGGAATGGAAAAAGGACATTCGTGCAAAAACTAGTGAGATGCAAAGAAAGTCTGAAGTGTACTTTATGGAGCAAAACCAAGATGGAGTTCTTGGTTTGATAACAGTGTTGTGGTCATGAAAGATACATCCATTAACGGAAGCTGGACGAAGGGCACACAGCAACTCCCTTGTCCTCTTTCTATACATCTAGAGTCTGTACATCTAAAAAATTCCAAAATAAGTTTAAAACAAGTCACTGAGAGCAAAGTCCTATTGCTGAATTGTTGGCCCAGCGACACAAGCAAACCACTTCCACCTGGACCACACTTCCAGTTTCTCGAGTTTCTACCTGGCGAGTTAGTTTGATGGAATCTGGTAGACAGACTCCCGGCTTTGGAGTCAGAAGACCTGGGTTGAAGCTCTGGCTGCCTCACTGACTACCTGACGGCTTGGCCTTCAGCAATATACCCCCTTGTCAGAGCCTTGGTGTCCTCTACTATAGAAAGGGTCTGATAATCCCCACCCCACGAGGTGGCTGTGAGGATGGTGTGGGAAACACAGCAGACGCTCAGTAAAGGTTCGCCACACGGTTAGTGTCCTCACAGGGCCTTTGGGAGCGACTTGTTAAAATGGTGGGAAATGACTTTGCCACCTGTGAAGCTTCTATAGACAGAGGGCTGGTGAGAACGCTAGGCTCTGCGACCTCACGAATGGGCACCACCAAGAACTCATTTCTGTTGCTGCTGTTTACCTGCGAGTCCCCATCCAGTGCCGCTTGGGCATACATCTGCACCGACAGCTCCAGGTCTTGTGACTGGTTTTGGTGGCCATAGTAGTAAAGGTCTCCCATTTTCAAATAGGCTGCGGGGCGAAAAGCACCGATGCGTTGGTCGAGGGGTTTTATTTCAGACGGACATCTTAAATGATCGGCCCATTCCCACGATGGAGAGTTTTTCCTATCGGATTCCTACCACAGAACATGTTCAGGGTGCGTGTGTGTTTTTTTCATGTGTCAGTAGAAAAGACACACACACCGCTTTTCTGCTGAGCACCCACATTTCCAGACACATTTTCCTGCTTTGCTTGGTAGCCCTCCCGAATAGATCTATTTGTGAGAATCACAGCCCAATCAGCCAAGGACTGGGGGGGTGGGGGGAGCACTTTATTTCCCCTCTGAAATTTTGCTGGCTGGGTTTGATGACTAAAGGGTATTTCTTTATTCAAGCTGTATGCTTTATTTTTCCTCCAAGGAAAAAGTTTTGTTTAAGAATGCATGTCTCACTCAGGAAAATAGAATCGACGTCAGGTCATTCAAAAGAGGGATTTCAACACTGGGAAGGGCTGCTCACCCGGGTGTTGAGAGAGCTGAAAAGGCAAATGGCAACCCAAACACCAGCAATGCAGGCAGCTCCTACCATCCCTGTGCTAAGGGTCTGCTGGGACCATGGGAATGCAGCCACTGCCAGAGAACAGCCAAAGTGGAGAGAGGAGAGAAATACTTGGGCTCCGCCACAGCCTCCCATTGGCTGACACTAGTCAGAAGCCCCACAGCAAAGGAGTCTGGGAACTGCAGTTCCTGGGGGTAGCCCCCTACCATACAGAGCAGAAGAAGGCAGGGAACCCATCACTGGCTCAGACCCTGTCCATAAGAGCTTTCTCTTTTGGACAGTGGGCCGGGAGACATACGTTGCATGAGGCTGAGAGCAGATTTCAGTCATGATCTTAATAGCAGAGACTTTGCACTCTCTCCTAATTGTTTAGAAATAACACACTGCACACAAAGCCCTTAGATGTTTCCTGTTACTAAGGTTTAAAAGCCTCCACGGCTTCAATTTAGTACCCGTTTTTCTATACATACCAAATGAAGGAGCATCGATTTGAAAAACAGAGAAATTATAGTATCTCCAAACACAATTAACACCCAAATATCTCTTGGCCAGGTCCTAAGGGAGTGAAGGGGGAGAAAAAGTTAATTCATTAATATTTTGGCCGAGTGACTAATTTTGCCTCCCTAAAACCCCCATCCATCATCCTTAACCTTAGAGCTTCTACTCAGAGAATACATTTACTCACCGGCCTCTCCTCACAGATGTGTGCTAAATTTGTCTGTGACACTTCAATACCAGTTTCTGCTGCTAAAACATAATACAGCAAAGCTTCGTGCCTAAAAATAGACGATTAATAATAAATTTCATATAGTGGCTCTTACTAATATTCACAGAGAGCTCGATATTCAAACATAAGGGCACAAAATAAGCAGTTTTCTTTTTAAAGCACAAAACCATGAGTTTGTTGGTTTTTTTAAAAAAAATAAATACTCTTGTCAAAAATACTGCATGCACTGATTTATTTTCTGTCTTAAAGGCTGAACTGGCAGATAAGGTTGGGAGCTAGTTAATGCAACAGCTACCTCTACTGGCCGAATGGCATGTCGAACAGCCTCAGGTCCCTGAATCCTTCCTTGCTTCGAGGAGAGAGTGGTATTAAAACAAAGTCCTGTGAGTCCTCTGTTTTGTGAAAGGCTTTATGGGGCTTAGGATTCTGAACAAGCTTAATTAAAGCTGGGCTTTTGTGGAGCGTTAGACGTCTGGCAAAGGAGATGCAGCTTACAAGAGTGTTGATAGCAATGGCCAGAAACACATATAAATAAATGACAGTTCGACACCACTTGGAACTGAATAATTGTAAAACAATGAGACCACTCCTTGTCTGTTGAAAGGTTGCCATACGATTCGTAATACCAGTTAAGGGCAGGGGGTCGGGGAAACGGACATATTCCCACAACCACTGCTAGTGGGAGGGCCAATCAATGTGCTGATTGTGGGAAGCCCTAAGAATGCACAGGCCACTTGCCCAACAGTTCTCCCTGTGGGGGTTCATTCTAAAAAAACAAATCAGAGACATGCAAAGATTCTGGGGCAAGAGAGTTTATGGCAGAGCTTTTGCTATGTTAGAAAATTGTAAAAAATTGGTAAGAACTTAAATATCTGAAAATCAGTGACTATTTAAATTAACCCACGGCCTGGCCAGCATGGCTCAGTGGTTGAGCATTGACCTATGAACCAGGAGGTCATGGTCTGATTCCAGGTCAGGGCACATGTGCAGATTTCGGGCTCAATCCCCGGTATGGGCTGTGCAGGAGGCAGTCCATCAGTGATTCTCTCTCATCATTAATGTTTCTATCTCTCTCTCCTTCTCCCTTCCTCTCTGAAATCAATAAAAATATATTTTTAAAAAATTAACCCTTGGTACAGCCACTTTCGGATGAGGCCATGAAAAATGATGTGGAAGAATACATATCCAAAAATGTGGAAAGATGTCTATGCAAAATTATCTGTTCAGTGAAAAAAAGAGGCAGGATAAAAACCAATGCAATTCCAGTTTTGGAATAAAACCGAATACACACACGCATACACACACACACACACACACACACACACACACACGCAGATACATATATGCCGAGAAAACTAAACCATAAAAATTATCTACCAAAAGCTAACAGTGCTTATCTCTAGGTGGTGAGAATGCAAGTCATTTCTATTCTTTACTTTTGACTGATCTGATTTCCTCCATTTTCTTAGTGTCACCCAGTTTATGAATAAAAATTTATTTTAACCATAAAAGTTATTTCAAAATCGTCTTTTTCATGTTAAGTAGCTGACACGGAGAACTCTCCCTCGACTGTCACTCCCCCTGGAAGTGGGTTAAGGAAGGACAGGGGGCGGTTGGGTTAGGGGGACTAAGGAGGCAGATTCTGAGATCACCTTCTCTACATCGTTAGAGCAGCTCTGGCAGACCATCCCTCGGGGACAGAGAGAGGTGACTGGGAGTCAAGTTAGCACAGCAGATCTTCAATCAGACATGCTGTAGGTCATGGCCACGTGGCTGCTGAGTGAGCTGATTCTCCATCTCCAAGACACCCAAGGCAGCCGACCAATTAGCCATGACTCATTCTAAAGAGACACGAAGCTGGCTAAGCGGTGTCCCCTGCATAGGCAGGTCAGCTAACAAGCCCACGACTGGAGCCGAAACAACACCTCGAAAAATGCACAGGTGTTTTCTTTTTATTTCTTATTGATTTCAGAGAGGAAGGGAGAGGGAGAGAGATAGAGACATCAATGAAGATGAGAGAATCATTGATCAGATGCCTCCTGCACGCCCCCTACTGGGGACTGAGCCCAAAACCCGGGAATGTGTCCTGCACCGGAATCGAACCCGGGACCCTTCAGTCCCCAGGCTGACGCTTTATCCACTGAGCCAAACCAGCTTGGGCTGCACAGGCGTTTTCTTACACGGATTACAAAAATCATGTTTGGTGACCAGAATCCTCAAGTCAGACCCAGCATCAAGTCCCCGTCATTCTGCAGTAAGGTCCTGTTCCAGAGGTCTGACAACCTCAAGTGTCTCCTGAGACACTCGGGCTTGCACCCATGCCTCGGTTTCCCCAGGGATGAGCGAGGGAACGAGATGGTGTACCCTTGCCAGCCCACACGCTAATACTGAGCCAGCTCCCTCTGCTGCTGTGGCCGCATGGAATGTGACTCATGTTATTAACCTGTAACAAAATGAGTTTTTCTTAGACAGCAGTCGGGTATAGACTATTAGAATCTGCAGTGAGGGTGGGGGGCACGAGGCCAACACGCCCGTAAGACAGAGTCACCATGATAAACTTTACAAAGACAGTCTCTCGTGTGGTGGTGGAGGGATGGGAGAAACAAGTTTTATAGAGAGACGTTCACTGTCCAATTATTGTATAAGCTGGGAGGAAATTTCATAGAACCCTCGTGCATTTCCTTTGAAGAAGCGCTGTGATCCATCAAAAAGAGGCGTCAGGAAACAGTGAGGTCAATAGAAGTGCTGGGCAGAAATCCACCTCTGTCTTCCATCTTGCAGAAGCAATCAGCAGAGGCCGGCGCACCCTGACTCCACCGCCATCTATTCTCATATACTGAGGAGTGAGCTGTAGGTGAGGGTTAGCACATGGGAGACCATATTTCCTCAGCTTACTCAGACTTCCGAGACACACCACCTCTGCAGAAACCCTGTCCACATTCACTCTCCCTCCCTGCATTGGGCTCTTGCTTGTGTTTCAACAGAAACTGCCTGAAAGCATTGATTACAGATACTTCTATACTCATATTGTTGGAATAAGCATGCCCTCAGCATTTGCTATGTGCAGGAAGCCCCCAAACAAGCCACAAGACCGTACTGCCCTTCCGGAAATTTCCTTAAGGTTTAGGAAGCCAGCCAGAGCTTCGAGTTTGATTTCCAAGGCACTCAAGTGAAACTGTCTCCCAGACAGTCATTGTAAGGGGGAGGTGGGGTGGATGCAGAGAGGAGGACGTTTAGAGTAAAGAACGAGGCTGGGGCACATCTGCTACCCTCCCGCTTCAAAGCCAGCGTCTACATTTATAGAACTTTCCTAATGATGCTTCGTAACCACTCCTTGGGCTGCTGGCTGTGAACAGCGAATCGGACGACCTCTGAGCAGCTTCTCAAACAATTACATTATTTTCTCTGTGCTCCTTGCTAATGATGCCTGAAGCAGCTCCAACTGGAAGGATGAAAAACAATCCTGGGGTCTCAGTGGATTTCAGGGCCCCTGCTCTATTGCCGAAAGGTGAGTCTCTCTTTTAAAAAATAACATATTTTTATTGATTTCAGAGAGAAAGGGAGAGGGAGAGACAGATAGAAACATCAATGATGAGAGAGAATCATTGATCGGCTGCCTCCTGTACGCTCCCCACTGGGGATCGAGACCACAACCCGGGCATGTGCCCTTGACCAGAATCGAACCAGGGACCCTTCAGTCAGGCTTATACTCTATCCATTGAGCCGAACCAGCCAGGGCAACAGGTGAGTCTCTGGACTGGAACCTAGCATGCCTACTTGTCTTGCCTCAAGCCCACCATAATCGGGTTAAGTATTAGGGGTGTATTTAAGACAAAGGACAATAAGATACATAGACCACAGATAAAACACACGCAGAGGTAAGGCAGAGAGAAACGAAACATGACAGCCGGCCTCTCCTTTGCTGATTCCTCCTGGTGTCCAAAGACAGCCTCAGGCACGACAACATTATCTTCCGTATTATGCCTATACAGCAAAAAGCCCTTTTCTCCAACCCCCTCCTCTTTTAAGCTATCCCATAGAAATCTTGGAGCTACACAGAAAAGACAAGCTCGTCAAACCTACATGAGTAATCTGAAATAACTCCAGAATAAATTCACTCACGGGAAACGTAAGAAGGGGATGGACTCAGGACATTGATGGATGGTTTAGTTCTGTGATGGCAAAATAGATGGCACCAGAAAAGGCCATGCTGTGGGGAGGTCATGCTCTTATATTTCCTATTTAGCCTGCAGGGCAAGTTTGGGGACTCAGAGAGATGAAAGCACTCTTTGTCAAATAGATTTTGACAAAAATTTCCTACTGTCATGGGTAGTAGATGTTTCTTCCTGTAGCTATGAAAAGGCCTCAAATTCAGGTGGAGATTTATCTTTTGTAATATTTTAGTACCAGCATCAAGATTGGCAAGGATATTGACGATCAGCAGGAGAGTCTATTGATAAAATTATTTTAGAAAACAAATAGCTTTATTTTGTGACCCTACTCCTAAGTTTATATTCTAGAAAAACTCTTCCTATATGGGTCAGGAGATATATAAAACATGTTCATGGCCGCGTTGTTCTTAAAACAAAAAAAATGGAAACAACCCAAATACGTGTTAATAGGAGAATTGGTAAGTAAATTGTGGTATATGACAGCAGCGAAAAGGAACGACCTACAGGGACATGCATCCAAATATATGAATCTCAGAAACATAACGTTAAGTGACAAGGAGCAGTATAATAATATTCTAATGACAGAAAGCTCAGAATCAAGTCAAACTAAATCTATTGCTTAGGAATATACTCATGTTGTGCAAAAAAAAAAAAAAAAACTATAAAGAGAGCACGATCCAGGATGATGGTTCCTTCTGGGTACTGGGGCTGGGGGTGGGTTTAATCTGAGAGGGACATGCAATCAGGGAGCTTAAACAGTTCATTTCCTTAAGTAGGTGGGAGGTTTACAGGTGTTTGTTTTATTGTTGGAACTTACATATACATCACACATTATTTTGTATGTATCAACTCAGATCACAAAAGAAGAGAAAAACAACTCAACTGGCTCATGCCACTCCCCCAACTCAAATGATCAGCGCCTTTCACCAGAACTCTTTCTGGATCTTCCTTCGCTTCACCATTATTTACAGCTGTTTGGTGAAGCATCTCACAGCCCAGCTCTGTCACATCACGACCTTCTCTCCAAACCATCAACGCTCCCTGCTGCTCCACAGATTAAGTAGAAAGTACATAACCTTCCATTCAAACTTCCATAAAGTAGCACCTCTTTGGTCTTGTGGTATATCACTCCCTGTACAAATCTTACCCTCAGGGCAAACTGGGTGGCTTAAAATTTCCTAAAGACTCCCAGAATTTTCCTTTCTCTTTGCTTTTGTTCCTGTGATTCCCTTCACAAGAAATGCTGTTCCCTGCAGGGCTCAGTGGACATGCGACCATCCCTCAAGGCCTCCATTATAAAGGTTGGCCTAAGTCCCCCAAACCAGATAGCATCTCTTCCTGCTCAGAATCCCCAATGTTCTTCAGATACTGTTCATGGCGCTTAAGTTATGTTTGTTCTACTTGCCTTAGTTCATTCACTCAATAGTGTCTGAGCACTTCACACGTGCCACTAGGTGCTGGGCACTGGGATACAAGTCAGAGGGCAATCAAAGTAAAGGGCAATCATGATCCACGGAAGGACCCAAGCGAGTAAGAGGTTGGTAAGACTCTGGGGCACGTGCAAAGGCCCAGACGTCAGACAGAACAACGGCCATGCGAGAAACTGCAGGTAGTTCAGCATGAGGAAGGGTTGAGGCAGCAAACTACCCCAAGCCCTTCTTGGTGACATCCTTGAAACTCATGGCAAGGTGCCCTGCATGCGAGTGGACTCAGTCAAGTCTGATGAACTGAATGCAATCACACAAATAGTGTAGAGCACACTTAATTCCCGCATCCCCTCCACCAGGAAAAACAAACAAGTCAATCTCTGTGGCTGAATAGTCTAAGAAAGACAGCAGGCCACACAAATCTTAATTCTTCTTGACTTTCACTGCAAATTTTTAAATGTTAAAGGGATGCTAAATTCAAAAATAGGCAAAAAAAACCCCTAGCTACTGACCTATCCTTTCTTTATGGGAAAGGTGGTAGACATTTTGGCGTGTGTGTGTGTGTGTGTGTGTGTGTGTGTGTGTGTGTGTGTGTTGTGGGGGACAGATGTGCTCTTCCTTTGGGAATGCCCCACATATAAACACTTTGATATTTCAGTGCTTAGTTCCCCCTAAGAAGCTTGTGAGGAGCAAGGGTGGGAAGTTTAGAGGGTGATTGTAGAGAATGAGCTAAAGTCAAATTTGGGAGTTTTGCAAGATGAAATCTGTAAGACATATCAATTAGAAAATAATAACTTCATAAAAACTTCTTTCCTACTGTGCAAAGTGAGGCCACATATAATAAACTTTCACGGGAGTTCATAATAAACATTGCTATTTGGTGCTTTTTTCCATTGGGTTCATTTCCCCTGCATTATCTAATTTAAGATTCTCCATTACCGAGATGCTATCTTTTGATTACGTGGGCACCCATGGACCAAAGGAGAAAATAGTGTTCTTTTGGACTCATATTTAAATTTTTAATTAAGGTTCGGATCAGAGAATGATCGATGGTAAGTCTGGTCTAATGTCTCTGAGGCAGTGTTCCGAAGGGATATGTGCTGATTTGCATAGCCTTTTCAGTTATTACTGAAATACCCAGATCATTTAGGCAATAAACCAGCCAAGAAAATGTAGCCCGAGGGAAAAGTAAGACGGAGCGCTAGAAATGACAGAGGGAAAAAGATGAAGTCAGGTAGCATTTGGAGAAGTGTGCCCTTCTTTATGAAATCAAGTAACAGCAAATGGGGGGAATTCACAGTCCTCCTGTGCGGTGTCATGGGGGTTCTTCATCTGCTACCTCTAATGTCACAGCCAAAAGGGGAGCCTATTTGGCTGTGACATTAGAGGTCTTGTGAGTGACTTCCTGCAACCCCAAGCTCCTGGCCACGGAAGATGCACTACAAGCTATGGAAGGATGTAGCCTGAGCCCCAATTCTCAGCTTCCCACAAACAAGGTGGGAATCCCAGACCTCCTGTGACCTGCCAGCGAGAAGCAGAGGGTCAGCCAAGATGCCCCGCGCTGTGTTTAGATTCTAAAACCAAGAGAAACAAGCTCGAGGGGAAGAAGTCAACACATTCATGTGTCTTTCAACTTGATGAATGTGCATGCTCCCCCTAGAGAACTAATTTTTGTGTATAATTAAACATGGAAATGCTATGTTTTCCAATCAACAGCCAATCAGTCTGTGATACTCCGAATAGGATTACTGAGAGGCCGTGATTTCCCTGCAAATTGCTTTTTTTGGTTGCATTTTAAGCTCCATCTCATAGATTGAAAGGTAAGGGCCGAGGAAGTTCACGGTCACGTGGGTCCCAAGCTTACCAGGAGCCCTCCAGGTAGGCGTTGAGGCCTTTCCGAATGACGTGGCCCAGGTAGCCGTTTTTCTCAGCGATGTGCTTTGCCCACCTGAAAAGGAAAGGGAAGAGAAAAATATCCAAACTGTGGCAAATTAAATAATTGCTTCTTTCTTCGTATGATCACAATAAATCCCACTTGGGGAATATTTTGCTTTTTAGAATTTTTACAGAGCAACAAACCAGAACTGAATGTTAAGAAGGTAAAGAGAGAAACATTTTTGAGAGCTTTGCAACCAGGGCCCTTTCTTAGCAATGCTGAGGCATTGTGGTTTATGGAAATAAAGACAGGAAAGGTTCCTAATGAACAATATCCACCACTATAGGGAAAGAGAATCTTTGTTTTGGCATCTGTATGGTAATTAATCAATAATACTTTTCTTCTCCTACCTTTATTTTAGAATGGGGATTTATAACACTGTTTGGGTATTTTAAAATTTTTATTTATTTTCATTTAAAAAATATTTTTATTGATTTCAGAGAGGAAGGGAGAGAGAGAGAAACATCAATGATGAGAATCACTAATTGGCTGCCTCCTGCACGCCACCTACCCCAAGGCATAGATATTGGGGATTGAGCCCAATATCTGGGCATGTACCCTGACCAGAATTGAACCATGACCCCTTGGTTCATAGGTCGTCACTCAACCTCTGAGCCACACCAGCAGAGCTAATTTTATTTTTAAATTACAGTTGACATTCAATATTTTGTCATAGTTTCAGGTGTACAGCATAAGGGTTAGACAATCATAAACTTTACAAAGTAGTCCCCTGATAATTTCAAGTACCTACCTAGCATTGCACATAATTATTACAACATTATTGATTATATTCCCTATGCTGTACTTTACATCCCCATAGCTACCAATTTGTACTTCTTAATATCCCTTCACCTTCAAAAAGATCATCTTTACCGAAAGTTCTAGACTTCATTAAAACATTTTTACTGATTTATTATAAGGTTTCCCTATTTTGTTTCTGCTCCCTAATTTATCCTCAAGGGGGTTTATCATTAATGAACTAGCATATTGCAATCTTTAGATTTACAACCACTAAAAGAATATTCAAAGAATACATAACTAACAAGTTAATGAAATGGGGATATGGAATGCTTTTTAAAAAATATTTGACTTAGCCCTACCCGGTTTGGCTCAGTAGATAGAACGTTGGCCCAAGGACCAAAGGGTCCCGGGTTCAATTCCGGTCAAGGGCATGTACCTTGGTTGCAGGTTCCCTGGCCCTGATCGGGGTGCATGCAGAAGGCAACCAATAGATGTGTCTCTCTCACATCAATGTTTCTTTCTGTCTCTCCCCACACCTCCCCCTTCTACTCTCTCTAAAAAATCAATGGAAAGATATCCTCAGGTGAGGATTAACCTAAATAATTAATAAATTAATTGATTGATTGACATAAAGGAAGGGCAAGAAAAGAGAAAAAAAGCACAAAGACAGATGTAACAATAAGGAATAGATGGTAAACTGGCAGAGTTAAAATCAAATATATCCCAATTAAATGTAAATGATCTAAATACACCAATTGAATACTAAAATTGTCAAACTGACTAAAAAATACACAAAAAAACAATTACATGCCACTTTCAAGAGACATAGATAAAATAAGAACAAAGAAAGACTGAAAGTAAAGGGGTAGAAAAAAATAGAACATGCAAATTCTAAAAACAAAAAAAAAAAGCACATATAACTATATTAACATAAAAAAAGTAGACTTTACAGAAAAGGACCACCAACAGAGATAAAGAGGACACTGTAAAACGATAAAAGGGTCAACAAGAAAGGAAAAACAATTCTCATTCTATTTGACCCAATAATATTATTCAAAATATCTAGTGCAAAACTGACAAAACTAAAAGGATTAGACAAGTGTACACTCATAGTGGTAGATTTTAACACAGTTCTTTCAGTAATTGTTGTAACAAGCAGAAAAACACACACATCAGGAATCATATAGAAGAATGGGCCAACCTGATAATATATGTAGAACATTGTACCCGACAAGTTCAGAAAACACACTCTTTTCAAGAGATGATAAACATACATCAAAATTGACCATATGCTGGTCATAAAGCAAGCCCCAACACTTTTCAAAGGATTGAAGTCATTCAGAATATACTCTCTAATCACAATGTGATTAAGCTAGAAATCAATAATAAAAGGATAAAAAAAGTCTGTGAAATATATAAATGCTCACAATAAGTATCCTAACCAAAAAACAATAACAGCCCTGGCTGGTTTGGCTCAGTGGATAGAGCGCTGCCCTGCGGACTCAAGGGTCCCGGGTTCGATTCTGGTCAAGGGCACATGCCCAGGTTGCGGGCTCTGTCCCCAGTAGGGGGCATGCAGGAGGCAGCCAATCAATGATTCTCTCTCATCATTGATGTTTCTATCTCTCTCTTCCTTTCCCTTCCTCTCTGAAATCAATAAAAATATATTTAAAAAAAGAAATCATTTAAATTTAAAAACAAAACAAAACAAACAATAACAAAAGCCTCAAGTCTGTCTCAGGTGAGTGTCATCACTGAGTTCAGGTAGATTTGCTCTCAAATGCCTTAAGACACCCCCCTGGAGAGCCGGACTATAGAGTGAGGGTGATCTACAGCAGAGGTCTGCACACTTTTTCTACAAAGGGTAAGACAGTAAATATTTTAAGCTTTGTGGGCCACCTATGGTCTCTGCTGCATATTTTTCCATGTCTGTTTTACAACCCTTTAAAAATGTAGGAAGCGCTCTTAGCTCTTTGGCAGGCCACATGTTATGTGTGGGCCATAGTTTGCCAGCCCCTGTAAAACATGATCAGATATGCATGACATCAAAAATGGGTCTCCTGTTCCCTGTTCTTCAGGAAGCTTCTGTAGGATGTGTACTACCAAAATGCAAGCGTTAACCAAGAAAGAGGAAGAAATAGGGTCCAACAAAGAGGACCAGAAAGCCAGAGATGAAGGAAAAGGGATCCCCCAAAAGGATGACAAAGTCAATTTCGGGAGGGCAGCTGTGGCCTGAACAAAGACTCCAGGAGAGACATCACCAAGATTAAATTACTACCTGGTGGGTGTGGCCAGACTAAGAGATTTAGACAACTGTAGATGAATTGGGAGATCAAGTGTACATGGAAAATGACAAGTACACAGAAAGCCAAGCAGCTAAAGAACAATAACATATAATTATTCCTCCATAGAAAACACAAAGCTGTGCAAGAAAGAAAAGGTAGTCATAGAATACTACATGGCTCAGCTGTGAATAGCATTTACAGTCATAATAATGTAAACCCCGATACTAATCTAACCAAAATTATGACATACTTATTGGGAAGATGGGAGAGAAATAAAAAGTGGGAATGTGTGGGGTAGCGAGGTGGCAGAGTGAGAGAGGACTGTATCTTCATCTTTCACAGTGAGACATCATTAAACAATGTCTATAATGAAGATGACAAGAAATAGTGGGATATGCATGTTATTTAGCAGTAGAGGCAAAAAAATATGGTTAAAAATGTGAAAATGAAAAGTGATTTATTTTTGGGAGCAGGACAAAGTCTGGTGTGGTATAGGCAGAGATTTCCTGTGTTGTTGTTTTTCTTATCAAATTATTTTCTATTTTTTATTAAATTCTTTTTATTTTTGTCTTGTCAAATTATTTGGAACTTTAAACTATGTGAACTCTATCAGTTTTTAAACCGATAAAAATTAAATTGTTTTTCCTTTTTTATTATTAGGAAGTCTTATTTTTTCCTTCTACTCTGCCATCTTGACTGGAACCCAATATAAAAATAAAAATTTTAAAATGCAAAAAAAAAAAAAAGAGGACCTCTTCTCCCAGGCACAGTGAATATAGTACTGCAGTCCCCTCTATTTGCAGTTTCACTTTCCAAGGTTTCAGTTGCCTATGGCCAACTATGGTCCAAAAATATTAAATAAAAATTCCAAAAGTAACAACTCATAGTTTTGAATTGTGTGCCATTCTGAGTATCACGATGAAATCTCGAGCCATCCCACTCTGTCCTGCCCGGGATGTGACTCATCCCTTTGTGCAGCGTCTCCACACTGTAGACACTTCCCCACCTGACAGCCACTGAGTAGCTGTCCGGGTTATCAGATCGACTATTGCAGGATCACAGTGCTTGTGCTCAGGTCACCCTTATTTTCCTTAATAATGGCTCCAAAGCACAAGAGTCATGATGCTGGCAATTCAGATATGCCAAAGAGAAGCTGTAACGTGCTTCCTTTAAGTGAAAAGGTCTGTAAGTGTAGGAAAAAACACACAGTATCTACAGGGCTCGGTACTATCTGTAGTTTCAGGCATCCACCTGGGGGTTGTGGACATATCTCTGAAGGAGAAGGGGGGACTACTGTAGATGGCCTTCCCTTCACAGCCAACATCTGCTAGATTCTTACACAACAGCCTTCTCGGGGTCTCTAGGGAACGTCTCCAGGTTGCCTGTTATATAGTAGAGAGAACACCACAAGGTTCCTTCGATGTGTCCGCCTTGCGCAGCCTTATGGAAATATTCTCCAGCTAAAGTCTGTGAAGAGAGATGAGCAAACGTTAGTCTCCTTGGTGCAAAGTCTCCCTGGCTGGGCTGATTTCACCGGAGCCAAGGTATTATCACAGGCTTATCACTTCTGACATCTTTAAGGAAACCAAGTCAAGTAAGACAGCCAGGCACAGAAGCCAGTGATATTCTGTTGATGAGGCTGGCCAAGGAAGTAAGACGTAACTAGGAATGTCATTGTCACCTCATTTGATCCTCACATAACCCCTGCCAACAAGATAGAAGACTGTATCAGAAGTCACACCAGGCGAAAATTCAGGCATTTGCGTCCCTAACCTTGCTTAAGACCTTTCTTCAAACTCATGCACAAAAACTGCATTTCCAGGAGGAAAGTGAGAATTAGAAAATGACAATAAAAAAACCCACGCTCTCAGATGTGTGGGAGGATTCTTGCAATGCATAAAAATATACAGCCTCGCATGTAGTCAGAGAGAGGTAGAGGGAAAAAATAAAACACTTAGATATATGCTCCGCTAATTACTATTATTTTCCTGAGGCAGTGAGCTGACATTTTTAAGCATGGGCTTTGGAGTCAGACAGACTTGGGTTCAAATCCCAGTTCTGCTCCTTACTAGCGAGTGACCTTGGGCATATTAATCTCTCCACCTCAGAGATTTTATTCAACTAAAAAATGTGTTGCCAGGCCCGCATGGCTCAATGGTTGAGCGTCGACCTAGGAACCAGGAAGTCACGGTTCGATTTCCGATTCTAGCATATGCCCAGGTTGTAGGCTCCATCCCCAGTGTGGGGCATGCAGGAGGCAGCTGATCAATGATTCTCTCTCATCATTGATGTTTCTCTCTCTCCCTCTCCCTTCCTCTCTGAAATCAATAAAAATACACATATTTAAAAAAATGTGGTGTCTGACAGTACCTAGCATGAAAGGTTGTTGTGAGGATTAAATGAGAAAACAAATTCTCCAGAATTAGCATGGAGCTTCATGAAAAATCATCTGATTCCCCCACCCCCAGATCTGCTGCTGCCCATCCCATAAATGGCCCCTCCATTCTTTCCCAGCTCAATAAAGGCCATGTGCTCTAGGGTTGTCCTGACTCCTCTCCCTCTCACACCTCACATGCAATCATCAGTGAATCCCGTATCTTGACCTTCAAAATATATCCAGAATCCAGTCACATTGCAGCCCCTCTTGAGATATTGCCCATCCTTTCTCATTTGGATTCAACACTTAACCCCGTTCCCTCTCTTGTCTCCTGTAAGCTTAGTCTCTGCTAGGATCAAGCCTTTTAAAAACAGCACATCCTGCCCAAGTCAAAGCTGTCCCGTGTTTTCCCATCTTGCTCAGAGCAGCTGAGTCATCACAATGACCTGGGCATCTGCCTTCCAGACCTATCTCCCACCTCCCCATCTCCTCTGCCTTCTGCTTCTACAACTCTGGCCTCCCTGCTGTTCCTGGAACTTCTCAGAGCTTTTACCCTGGCTGTTCCCTCTTTCTGGAATGTTCTCCCAGATATCCACAAGATTCCTTTTGGAGCCTGTCCAATGTCACATTATTAGAGAAACCTTCTCTGATCTCCTCTATAAAATAACATCCCCCAATCTCCACCCTCCCTGTTCTCCTTCTC